GAGCAAGCAGCATAAAACCTCCAACCCTCTAAAAATGTACAAAGCAGTAAAATATCACAAGAATGATAAATAACCTGTCACTTACATTATGATCCATGAGATAAATTGGTGTATGGAAATCATTTTATGGGTTATTTTGATTAATATCCATCAACTTGAACTGGTCCCACTGCGAGTTCCAGTTGGCATGTTGGACAGTGATTGCTCCCCTTAAAGCTAAGATCATTGGATAATAGGTTATTTTGAATATTATATAGAAAGAAAACTTTGAATCAATCTGACTGGATGATCTAGTGAACTGGAAAGTGTCCTGAGATGACATGACTTAGATTTCTACTTTTAAGGCTAGGCTTAAAACTTTCCTTTTTGATAAAGCTTCTAGTTAGAGTGGCTCAGGTTATCCGGATCTATCTCTATAGTTCTGCTGCTATAGGCTTAGACTGCTGGAGGACATAGGGACCCCTTTTTCATCATTCTGCTTCATTCTATCTCTGTTCTCCCACTCTGCAGAATCTGTTAGTTCAATCTCTAACGTTCTGCTCTCTCTGCTTTTTCTCATAGTAGCTTCATCTGGTCTGTTCCTGTTTGGCTGTGACTCCATCCTGGAGATAAATATCAGCTGTGCTGCTGCCATCAACACCTTTGTTTCTAGATGCTGGAGCTTGGCCTGTTTTCCAGTGTAGTCCTGTTTCTCTGACTGTGACTAACTGGATGTGCTCTCTTCATCCTCTGACATGGGAGCTGGCTCGGAGCTCGTCTGCCTGGCTGTGTGTTTCCTGGACGGGGCCGCCTGTGGAGCTGGTTGACAGTCGCCTTTTGTATCTATGCTTCTTTTTCTATGTCTGCTTCTGTCTCCTTGAACCCCAGTGGGCCTCAGCAGATGGCCGCTCACACTGAGCCTGGTTCTGCTGGAGGTTTCTTCCTGTTCAAAGGGAGTTTTTCCTCTCCACTGTCGCTACAAGCATGCTTAGTGTGAGGGATTGCTGAAGAGTCAATGAGTCGATGCAATCAGCTGGTTTTCCTTAGATAGAAAACTTTGAATCAATCTGACTGGATGATCTGGTGAACTGGAAAGTGACCTGAGATGACATGATGGGAATTGGAGCTATAGAAATAAACTGAATAGAATGACTTTAAGGCTTGTGCAGTCTGTCTGTCCATCTACATGCCCTATATATTTTGTGAAAACACTGTTTAGGTTCAGCCACTTTATTCCAGGCAGAGAGTTGAATGAAGCTGGGAAATAATCTCATGACGGGTGACTGTGACCCTCCTTTTGCTTCGACTTCCACAGGAGGACAGCAGGATGGATCAAGTAAAGCAGGGAAAGGAGAACAGAGGGCGGGGGAGCGAAGAAAAACTTGGTATTCAGAGAACGGCTCCAACTTTTCATCTGCCCTCAGGCCGAGAGGGGGGCTCAAGGGAATAACAAGCTTCTCCTTCAACCCTTTTCTCTGTTCCCGGGATACAGAGAAGTAAAATCCTCTAAAAATAGTGTGACGGCATTTCTTTGAATGTGTGTGTCTGGTGCCAACGCAGGCGGACTACATGCATAATGACTTCCATTAACCTTCACACTCTGGAAGGATTGTGGAAAAGATTAACCACGCATCTAGTATGACTCAAATGCCATCTTTTCAAAGACTTTTTATGGTTTCCATATTTTGGACTCTGTTAACTCTACACTTATGAAATCAGTTCTTATCTTTATTATTATGATTATTATGTGTAAAATACCCGCTGCTTGGAATCATATTAACCTTGTTTTTCTCCTTTTTTTAATTAAACCTCCCTGACTTTGGATTTTTTTAAATTCACATAATAAACATGCTTATTTATATGTATCATTTCTATGTTATAATGGACATATATTCAGTTAACATCACAGTGATAAAATACCAGACTTTGGAGATGTTAATAGAAGAGAAAATTAGAAATTACTCTAAAACTTTTCACATATGAAATTCAAATGAAAAAGAAAATAAATAAGAAGGTAAAAAAGCTCAACAACCAAGTCACATAATCCTTCAATTCTATTCTATTCAGTTTATTTCTATAGCTCCAATTCACATCATGTCATCTCAGGTCAGTTTATAGATCCAGATCATCCAGTCAGATTGATTCAAAGTTTTCTATCTAAGGAAAACCAGCTGATTGCATCGACTCAGTGACTCTTCAGCAATCCCTCACACTAAGCATGCTTGTAGCGACAGTGGAGAGGAAAAACTCCCTTTTAACAGGAAGAAACCTCCAGCAGAACCAGGCTCAGTGTGAGCGGCCATCTGCTGAGGCCCACTGGGGTTCAAGGAGACAGAAGCAGACATAGAAAAAGAAGCATAGATACAAAAGGCAACTGTCAACCAGCTCCACAGGCGGCCCCGTCCAGGAAACACACAGCCAGGCAGACGAGCTCCGAGCCAGCTCCCATGTCAGAGGATGAAGAGAGCACATCCAGTTAGTCACAGTCAGAGAAACAGGACTACACTGGCCTCACGGACTAAAACTGGTAGTTGGTTCCACAGGAGAGGAGCCTGATAACTAAAAGACCTGCCTCCCATTCTACTTTTAGAAATTCTAGGAACCACTAGTAAACCTGCAGATTGAGAGCGAAGTGCTCTGTTAGGAACATCAGGAACAATCAGATCTCTGATATCAGATGGAGCTTGGCCATTTAAGGCTTTATATGTGAGAAGGAGGATTTTAAATTCTATTCTTGATTTAACAGGAAGCCAATGAAGAGAAGCCAGGATAGGAGAGATATGATCTCTCTTTTTCATTTTCATCAGAACTCTGGCTGCAGCATTTTGGATCAGCTGAAGGCTTTTAACTACAGTTTGTGGACTTCCTGATAGTAAAGAATTACAATAGTCCAGCCTTGAAGTAACAAATGCATGGACTAGTTTCTCAGCATCACCCCTGGACAGGAGATTGCTCATTCTGCAATGTTCCTCAGATGAAAGAAGGAAATTCTAGAAACCTCTTTGATCTGGGATTTAAATGACAGGTCCTGATCAAAAATAACACCAAGATTTTTTACTTTATTATCTGAAATCAGTTTAATCCCATCCAAATGAAGTGACTGACTAATCAGCTTCTTTTTCAGAGACTCTGGTCCAAAGACTATAACTTCTGTTTTGTCTGCATTCAGAAGCAGAAAATTAAGAGTCATCCAGGTTTTTATGTCTTCAGACATGCCTGTAATCTATGTAATGGGTTAGCTTCATCTGGATTATAGACAGATATAGCTGGGTATCATCAGCATAACAGTGGAAATTGATACAGCAGTCATTTATTTTGAGGATAATAATTTATTGTACTGAAATGCTTTTGATGCCGATTTGAATATATATGGAAGAAAAACAGTCTCATTGGAATCTGCCTTTTTTTAACACCGAATTTTAAACACAGAATTTTTTTAAACATGGAATTCCTTACTCTCAGTTTTTATCTGCTAAAAATTATTATCTGCTAAAAAAAAAACCCAGAAAAATTCAGCTGCAAAAGTGTTGACCTTTTGGTGAACTCAAGCCAAAGCAATCTATACTCGATAGAGTCAAGCAGCATCTAGCCAATGAAATTAGCTCATTTGGTCACGTGACACAACGACCGCGCTCAGCGCTGTCCCCGACTGAATGAGGAATTTTTTTTGTTAAACAGATAAAATTAAAGAAGTTAAGTAGTTAAGTCAGTAGCTAAGTCAGTTAGCTACTAACTTATCAGACTGGGTGAAACAACAGAGCCGATCACAGCTAGTACGGCTCGAAGCTAGAAGCTGCTCGACTATCGAGTGTAGATTGCTTTGGCTTGAGTTCACCAAAAGGTCAACACTTTTGCAGCTGAATTTTTTGCAACTGAATTTTTTTTGCAGCTGAATTTTTACCAGATAAAAATTGAGTGTAAGGAATTCAATGTCTAAAAAAAATCAGTGTTTAAAATTCTTTGTTAAAAAAATTCACTGTTTAATCCAATGAGACTGTTTTTTGCATGACTCTTCATCCAACCATACATTTATGCAAGAAAAAGTCCCTCTTCATGTATGGTTCTTGGAGACATATCAGTGATTTAGATCTTGATTTAGATCTAGATTCTAAATCTGCTCTTTATAACTGTTCTTTACTTAAGAAAAACCAAAACGCTCCAGTTAGACATCAGGCACGGTCACTTCAAATTAAATCCACAGTCCTGTGGTACATACAGGGTATATGCTGGTGGAGATTCTCAGTCATTCAGGTCACTCATTCTAAAAAGTAAAAAAAAACAATCCACTGGACTTAGTTTTCAAATTCTGAAGACGTTTTGCTTCCCATCCAGGAAGTTTTCTCATTTCAAAATGTCTGGATTAGCATTGAGGTCCAGACTTTATTGAGAAGCCAAACTAAAACCTTGTAAAAGCTTAGAAAACATGCAGATTGAAACTGGAAAATCAGCTCCACCCTTTAATAATGTAACTCGTTGAGGTTGTTATTGGCCTGAAATACCCGATACTGGTCCATTCCTCTAAAAGGCAGTCGTTAAGGGTCATTGTTGGCCTGGCTGACCTGGCGAGATCATTTACTCCACTGCTTAGCTTAACCCTACCCTTTTTTCTTTCTTAACAAAGATGGCTTCCTTCACGCCCCTCTCAAACCACCTGTCTTCTTTGTCCAAAATGTGAACATTCTGGGATTTTATGTTTGGAGAAAATCCTCTTGAGTTTTTCAGAGACTCCAGCAACATATTGGATGGATTTTTTTGTTTAATTGTTTAAAAGCAAAAACATGGAGTGTATGGAGTATGCATTAAATCCTGGGCACTTTGTGAAGAACAGTTTCTTTATTTCCCAATAGAGGATCATAGAAAAGAAACAATCTGTGTAAATCAAAGGAAAATAATTGAACTCCTAATAGGAAACATCACTTATATTATAGAAACGTAAGAGTTTTATGATCTGAAAACACTGAAAGACGTAAAGAAGCCAAAACCAGATTCACCAGATCATTACTATAAGTGAGGAAGGCTACCTGCACGCTGCCCACTGCAGAGTAGGCTGCATAGGAGAACTGCTCCTTCAGCAGGTCTGGGGGCCCCCGCTGGTCACATGGGGTCCCACTGGGAAGGAAACACTGGTGGCTGGATCTGTCAGTGATGGTGTTTGGGGTGGATCCAGGCAAGCTGAGCAGAACCGTGTAATTGTAGAGGTGGACATCAGTCAAGCCAAGTCCTACCCACTGCTGGTACAGGTACCGGGCTCTGGATTCTTCACTGTCATCTGGAAGACTGGAGAAGGACCTGGAGGCAGAATATAAAAGAATGAAAGATATTTAACACTTTGCTCTCTGCTTTCCATCTTAAATCCTTTCTGCTTTAAAAAATTACTCTCATCATTAAGCAGGTAAAATAAATAAAGCTGTTTACTCCCTACATACCGTCAGATTAAGTCATTTAGAGCTTACAATAGAGTATAAGGCCAGGCTAGAGATTTAATTTTTTTTTAAATACCAGAATTATATGATAATATTATGAGAATAAAGCCACATCTTATTAAAACTCTTACAAGAATAGCCGCCTTCCCTAAAATGAGGAATATATATATGTATATGTGTATATGTGTATATATATGTGTATATATATATATATATATATATGTGTGTATATATATATATATATATGTGTGTATATATATATATATATATATATATATATACACACACACACACACACACACACACACACACACACACACACACATATATATATATATATCTACATATAACATAATACAAAATAACCCTGCTATAGCAGATTTAGGTTACACATCATAAAAAGTTGTTGAACGTAGAAAATCTTATTGCTTCTTCCAGAAAGTTCCTTTTTTGCAATAAAACTTTTACCTGTTAATGTTTTCTGTCACATTACGTTGTTATAGACTGAAAACATAAAAAGCCAGTTTGAATAAATGTCAGGAGCCGATTGAGAAGCGGTGATGATGAGTGCTAAGCATAATTTAACTGGACCTCAGTATTGCAGAGAGCAGTTCTATTTAAGTCTCCAGCCTGTTTGACCAGAGGGCTGAACTGAATTAATGTCTTTTTTTTTGCTTTTCAAACACACCAAGAACCCTCACAGGACTCCAGAGTCACCGTCATTCTCATTTTCCTAATTGTAAGAAAAAAATGTCAATAAAAATTGATCCTAGTCTTATTTGATTCTCTCCTGGTTTGTTTGGTTCTTGATATTTACCCTCTTTATTGTTCTGACTCACAGGAGACTGGACTCCAAAGTTCACCAATAAAGACGTGTGCAGACTGGGGTGGCCTGCAATTCAAACCCTCGCTCAAAACAACACATAAAAAACTCCATCATATGGGATTTCACAGAACAAACCCTAAATAACAGTGTGAATCATGACAGTATGAAAACACATGGAACAAATAAGGCTTTGATTCGTTCGAGATAACCTTACCTAATTAAGAAAAAAAGGAACACCAATGTCAGCTCCTTCTTTGCAGTTAGATAAAACTCTGCTCCTTTCATGAGTGAATAATTTAATGATTCCCCAGTAAGGACATCAAAGTTAGTTCTAAACGGTCTGATTTCAATATGCTTCATCACACATGCAGACCAGCGACAGGAAGGCTTCATCTGAAAGGGGCCAGCACTTCTACAGTATGTAGAACGGCCATCGGGGCTGTGAGCAGAGGCATCACTGGCAGGTTGGTGTTTCCTAGAAAGGAAGAATGCAGCTAACCTTTCCTCACAGAAGACAAAAAGGTATTATCTGCATCCATCCATCATCCATCCATCCATCCATCCGGCATCTATCCATCCGGCATCTATCCATCCGGCATCCATCCATCCATCCTCTTCCTCTTTATCCGGGTCGACAATAAAAGTAACTAGTTATTAGTAGAAGTAACTATTGCGTTACTTTTGCGTTTCTCGCCCCCGTAACCCTCACCACCCGGCCCCCATCTTCTCACTGTGTGTTTCCAAAGCCAGCTGAATAGAGCGGACGACAAAGACAAGAACCTGCAGAGAGTTTAGCATTTATTGCAACTCAACGTAAATGACATCAGGGGGGAACGCTATCTGACGGGCCCATAAACCTCGTCAGGTAGTGTTCCCTCTGCTTAACATGGGGGGAACGCTATCTGAGGGGCCTATAAATCCCGTCAGGTAGTGTTCCCTCTGCTTAACATGGGGGGAACGCTATCTGAGGGGCCTATAAACCTCGACAGGTAGCGTTCCCCCTGCTTAACATGGGGGGAACGTTATCTGAGGGGCCTATAAATCCCGTCAGGTAGCGTTCCCTCTGCTTAACATGGGGGGAACGCTATCTGATGGGCCTATAAACCTCGTCAGGTAGTGTTCCCCCTGCTTAACATGGGGGGAACGCTATCTGAGGGGCCTATAAATCCCGTCAGGTAGTGTTCCCTCTGCTTAACATGGGGGGAACGCTATCTGACGGGCCTATAAACCTCGTCAGGTAGCGTTCCCCCTGCTTAACATGGGGGGAACGCTATCTGAGGGGCCTATAAATCCCGTCAGGTAGTGTTCCTTCTGCTTAACATGGGGGGAACGCTATCTGAGGGGCCTATAAATCCCGTCAGGTAGCGTTCTCTCTGCTTAACATGGGGGGAACGCTATCTGACGGGTCTAGAAATCCCATCAGATAGTGTTCCCTCTGCTTAACATGGGGGGAACGCTATCTGAGGGGCCTATAAATCCCGTCGGGTAGTGTTCCCTCTGCTTAACATGGGGGGAACGCTATCTGACGGGTCTAGAAATCCCATCAGATAGTGTTCCCTCTGCTTAACATGGGGGGAACGCTATCTGAGGGGCCTATAAATCCCGTCGGGTATTGTTCCCTCTGCTTAACATGGGGGGAACGCTATCTGATGATGTGTAAATATCATCAGGCTGCATTACCTCTACTCATGGGTGTGAAGTTTTTTAACAGGGCATTCAGATCTGGGGAGTGAATGAAATTAATAACTGGGGATGTTTAATTCTGAAATCCTGTGTGTTTGGGTTGTTATAGATACTGCAACATCTATCTATCTATCTATCTATCTATCTATCTATCTATCTATCTATCTATCTATCTATCTATCTATCTATCTATCTATCTATACATTCAGATTTCTCCCTTTCTCCATATAGGCTATCATTTGATCCTTCACGCTCTCCATAGTTCTCCTGTGGCGTGAGCACAGGGCGACTGTTGCGCGCCTTTAGCTAGCGTGCGCGTTTCCTGTCGCTTGCGCGGTGAATCATGCCGCCTGCGCTGTGCGGAGATGCAGGGGAAACCGTATCTGATGGGGAAACGCAGCTCGACGTAACACCGGTATTTCCATGTGGAAAACGCTGTTTTGCTGCAGGAGTCCTCCTGACTCTCCATCTCTCTGTGTGTGCTGTACGTTAACACCCACCAGCAGAAACACCCACCTACCCAACTGACAGATGGAATCTCACTATACATCAGCCATTCTCATCCTCCCCTCTCTCATGAAAAGGCGCGCACGAGTCCTATCATGAAAAAAGGTTCATTGTGCGACCTGAGTAATGTGCAGTAACGGGGTGTCCACAATGGTAACTGCGTTATAGTTACAGTCAAAGTAATTAGATTACTCGTTACTAAAAAAGTTAACGATGTTAGTAACTTACTGAGTTAAGTTACTTTCAAGTTTCTTTCGACGTGGAGGAGCGGCGACTCTACTCCGAGCTCCTCCCGGGTAACTGAGCTCCTCACCCCATCTGGAAGGAAGCGCCCAGCCACCCTGTGAAGGAAACTCATTTCTGCCGCTTCTACTCGCAGTTCTGTTCTTTCAGTGTTATCTAAATAACACTGAAATAAAAAATGCGTCCAAACGAGTGTGAGCTGCACCACTGAAAACAAGTGAGAACTAATTTTACTCACCAGTTATTTCTCTGAAAAAGGAACCTGGTTAGAAAACCTTAAAACCCACCGGATCGTCTGCGAAACGTTTTTAAAGAGTTAATAACTCAGAATGCATGAAAAATCCACCGGTAAAATGTTTACCGATATAAACATGTTAGACATCGTTGGAAAGCTTCGATTCTCCCCAATCCAACCACCAAGATCATTTTATGGACACAGCGAGCAGCAAAGCACAATTAACACAGATATAGCAACCTGTCAACATGTGACAACGCAGACACAACAAGCAGGCATGACTTTATTACTGCTGTTCAAAAAAGATCTATTATTATTATATAACAACCGAGTCATGTTTGAACTGATGCAGCTTGGGTGTTTTACTCACCCAATTATCATTTATATATTCAGAAACTAGAGGGTTTTACCTTTCAAATACAGTATTGCACATGTAATGTGGGCTAACAGTTCATCAGTTGTTTGCTTTTCCATTTTGGTATAAAACAGGCGAGGATTTCCCAAAATGAGGTGGAGGTTAGGAATTTGCTAGGGATGCACGATATTGGGATTTTGGCCGATATCCGATATGCTGATATTTTAAAACTCATGTAGCCGATAACCGATATCGATACCGATGTTAAAGCTGGACAAAAATAAGTAGTCATTGAAAATAGCAGTTTTGTTATCCATTTCTGACACTTGAAAAATAATATACTCAAATATATTTTCATATGCTGATATCAAATAGATTTTTAAAAACGCGGTATCGATCTATTTTACTTTCAAAATCTCGTGAAATTTCATCGTTCTGTTACAAACTCTCATGATATTTTGCAAATTCTTGTGAGATTTTGCTAGTAAAATAGATCGATACCACGTCAATATATCAACGTATAAAAATATGGCAACATTTGGTGAATTTTCGGGGGATTTCGTAGCATAACGATGACATATAGCAATATTTCATTAGTAACAGAGATTGATATGGTGTTTTTAAATGGCAATATATCAGCATATGAAGATATTGGGATATTTTAATGGATCAATATTTTTTCCCTCGTCTTTAGAAGTTTTTAAGTCTTTAAAAAAGAAGTTTTTGAGGAAGAAGAAGAAGTAGTATTTATTTTATTTTATTTTAGACTTTAGAAACTCAGAAGCTGATCAAATATCGGGTTAAATATCGGTGGGGTGGCCGATGTCCGATATTCAGTTTTAAGGCCGATACCGATAGGGGGCCCATTATATCGTGCATCCCTAGAATTTGCATTTGCCTTTTATGATCTAAAATGTCTAATAATTTAGCTTTATAACCAACTTGAGTTTCAATAATGAAATATAAAATGTATCTTATTAATTGATGAAATCGACATCATATCTGAAAAATTGTATA